ATGGGAAATCTTAATTTGGGGGCGGAGGGTGTAGGGGAAAGAGACAGTGCCTCGATAAACTCCAAAGGGGAGGGGAGGGGGCGCGGGGCAAGTGGGCTTCCTGTAATTACTATTATCAATTTACCCGAGTGTGTTTCATCCAGGGGCTGTTTCGCGTTGTTTGTTTCTTTCTTTCCTCTTGGGAATTGGGGGGGGGGGGTCGGGGGAGGGATGAGAAAAGATGAGAGTGAAAGAACCCCCCCCAAGGTTCTGAGCCGGGCTGAGTACTTTTCGGAGGAAGGGGTCCGCCTAGCCCTGAGTCAAACAGTCTTACTGTACCGCCGTGTGCATTCCCTCATACGGTCAGGAGTTATGACTCATTTTGAAGATGTAATTCTTGTCTCTGATCCCCTCGCGAGTGCAACACACCAAACAGTAACAAACACAAAGCGCCTCGGGACCAAGGCTGGGGTGGGGGGCGGGGAGGGGGCCGCCGAAGTTTCGCTTTGGCGTTGGGGGCGCGGATGGGTGCTCACCCGGGCCCTGGCCCGGCTCCCCTGGGCGGCCCGCGCGCGTTTCAATGGGCGCGGGCGATGCCCACATTGTCGCTGTGTTTGGTTGCTAGATCGAGCCTGCGTGCTGCCGGAGCAGGGCGCCGAGTCCATGCGAACTGCCATCTGATCCGCTCTTATCAATGAAGCAGCCGATCATGGCGGATGGCCCCCGGTGCAAGAGGCGCAAACAAGCCAATCCCAGGAGGAAAAACGGTAAGAAGAGGCCCGAACCAAACTTTTCCGGGCCACTCCGAGGCTCCAAACCCAGGGAGAAGGGGGCGAGGGAGAAGGGACCGCGGTGGCGCCCGGGGCTCGCGGGCGAGCCTCTGTCTCGGTGGCGGGCGCCGGAGCCCCGCGCGGCCGCTGCACTGGGGGAGTCGGGCAAGTGTGGGCAAAGTGACCGCGGGGCGCTGGGCTCCGAGTGCGGCTCCGGGGACCTGCGCCCACGCCGCGCCCCACGCACGGCCCCTCGCGCTGGGCTGCCTCTGCCGGCTGCGCTGGCCCGGCCCGCGGCTCCCTGGGGCCGGCATTGGGAGCAGCGGCCAGGGCAGGGCGGGGGCTCCGGCGCGGGGCTCTGGGCGCAGGCGGGGGCGGCAGAGGGACTACGAGGGCTACCGCGGGGACCGGGCTGCGCCTTCGCTTGCCTCAAAGTTTCTTGCCGGAGTCCCCGGCCGCCTCCCTGTGCGCCAAGTAACGGTCCGCGGCAGCCGGCCTGGCCTCTCGGGGACCCGGGGGCGGGAGGGACTGGGCCCGCGGCTGCAGGCTCGAAACCCGGGGCTCCTGGCAGCAGGCTCGGGCCCCACTACAAAGCTAGGACAGCCGGCGAAGCGACACTTCCCGGCAGTTACTACGGGGACCAGAGGAGCCGGTTATCCAGACTGGGTCAGGATGGAGGAAGGAGATTGGGGGGGGGGGGGTGCTAGGGGACACGCAAACCAGACAGAGGTGGCAGATTAAAGGGGTGTGTGTGACAGTTTATGTCCATTTCAGGGAGAAACTGAGAGAGAGAGAGAGGAGAGAGAGAGAGAGGAGAGAGAGAGAGAGAGAGAAAG